GTGGGTGGGTGGGGGCATCCCCAGGTCCTCCAACCTTCCCGCTGTCACCAGCGTGGTGATGAGGATCCGGTAGCGCCCCAAGTGCTCCTTGCTGGGGTACACGTAGCAGCTCTGCTCATTGTCCCAGTTGCAGCAGGGCTGAAACAGGCAGTCGGGGGGATCCTGCCCCCTGCCCCCTGCTCCTGGAGGGCTGCCACCCCAGACCTGCCGCAGGGTGCCAAATGGAGGGGCAGGGACCTACCCTGATGTCAGGAGGCACCTCCTGGTAGCTCCTGGAGCTGGCAATGAGCCTGTAGATGTACCGGGGGGCGATGTCCTTGACGAGGCGCTGGCACAGCAGGTCTGCGGCACTGTTGGAAGGAGCACAGGCCACGATCCGGGCGTCCTTGAAGCACGTCCATACCTGGGGGGAGGAGAGGGTGATGGCACTGAGCCCCACAGGCCGGGATGGGCAGCGATGCCCAGGGCTGGACCCGGGCACCGGCCACCCACCTGCTTGATGGCCTCCACCATGGTGACCGTCTTGCCAGTGCCGGGGGGGCCGAAGATGAGGTATGGGGCTGGCCTGGACATCCCCGTCACGATGTGCATCACGGCTCTGCACTGCTCCTCGTTCGCCTGCAGCTTGCGGTCAAACCACCTGCGGGAGCAGAGGCCGAGTGTCCCCGTCCCCATCCGTCCCCTCCCGCCCCACGGGCACCGGGACTCACCGGGGCTGGAAGGCGTCTGCAAAGAGGGACTTGTTGCTGGAGGTGGAGGGGAAGAGGAGGCTGGGCAAGCCGCGCTGCATGGCCAGGGCTGCAGCCCGGTGCTGGACCTGCAGTGGCAGCCGGCTGAAGGTGAAGGTCACGTCGAACCTCAGGTTGTCCACAAACAACTTCTGCAGCCTGGGAAGGGGCAGGGTGAGCAGGGAACAGGGATGCTCCCTCCCCAACCCTTCCCAGTGCACGCCCGGCCTTGGGCACATCCAAGTGAGATGCCAGGACCCCTACCCAGCTGAGGCCGGACACCACTCACTTGGAGGAGAAGCCCAGCCTGACCTTCTCCAGCTCCACGCCGTGCACGTAGCCCTTGTACTGGACGAGCGGGGA